TATGTGAGCATGTCCTTGGTGTCTCTTTATCTTCTTATAAGGCTACCAGTGATATTGACTAGGGCCTCACTCAAATGATATCATCTTTAAACCACCTATTTAAAGACCTATCTCTAAATATAGTTATGTTCTGAGGTACTGGGGTTGGGACCTGATCATGTAAATTGGGGGATTGTGGGGCCACAATTCAGCCCATAACAAGACTCTTAATTGGTTTTTTCTGCATTCACCCTGTTTTTCCTTTGTCTGCACATATAGCAACTAGGGTACTTATAAAAAGCAAATCTGATCATTTTTGTCATATATCTGCTGAAAACACTTCGGGGTACTCTATTGCTCTGAGGATAAAGACCATAATCCTCTAAGTGGCTGTCAATATTCTTCATGATCTGTTCCCTGCTTACCTCACTGGTGGTGTCTCCCAGCCACTTCCCTCTTACACTCTAGGTCACAGTGGTTCTCAACATATGTATGTGTGTGTGAATGTGAGTGTGTGTTTTTTGCCACCGCACATTCACAACAGACTACCATAATTAAAATTATTCGTGAAAAATCACTGTCCTAGACCAGAGGCACCATATGCATAAAAGGTTGTACATGAGATTCAGGACTAGTTTTATCATTCTTTTACAGGCATTGTTTGGAAACGTATCCTGTATTGAGTTTAAGAGAAAATAAAGTAAGAAACTGTAGAAAACCTGATGGAAGTTTTTCCTTCTCAGAAAGTAAGTTATTATAAACTATATATTTCAATAATTCTGAAATGAAATTAAATCAAGCTAAAGAATATTTACAGCATTTTAAAAAATTACAATACAGAGGGATAAATATAATTGATGTAAGCAGAATATTAATGAATCATTCCCATTATTTCCATTACCTGTTAAGTTCATCCAAACATAAGCGTAGTGTTTCATAAGTTGTCAGAGCAATTTCACATTTCCTCTGCTTTACACGAATAAGTTCACTGTCTTTTTTGTGACCATGTAATATAGTGACTCTGAAATATCCCCATGTATCCAATTCATCTTTCCAGTTGTAGAGGACAGAAAGAGGAGCAACTATTAAGAACATCTAAAGGAAGAAGAAAAAAATTTTTGATGTTTTTTAAA